CGTCATTACCTACTTCTGCATTTTGCTGCATGTGGTTTTTGCAGCTGCATAATTATTCAGCTTGTCTTTGCGAGCCGGTTGGGGGTCAGGTTGGCGGTTCGATTGCACTTTGGTGTGTGAGTGTGAATAGGAAGCGTTTTAAAGCAGTTTGATTACCGCTAAGGTAGAAACGTGTTCTATAAGTGGTTATATGAGTACAGATCATTCACCATTTGGGAAAAAAAACAAGCAACAATCAACAGAGCTTTAAAACGTAACCATCCAAATTAAAGAGCCTGCATGATAATTCAATAGAATAAATTGTTATTAATCCAAACACACTATGATATGAGATAACATTTTAATTAGTGAGCTTAAGAGCCACTTGTATTGCTACTTTCCAGTCTTTACACTAAGCTAAGCTAAGCTAACTGGCTGAAGCCTCTAGGTTTATATTTAGTATACAGATATGAGAAACCAAATAGGAAGGCTTACCAAAACATCCAAGTTCTGCTTTATAAAGCTGCTCAAAAGTTTAGGGGACGATGTTGCCAACAGGAATTAATCTGAATTAAATTTTTTGAAGTGTTTTGGATGCAGATTTAAATCTGGCATCAATAAAAACACAGCTTGTTCTTGTTCCCAGGGTGTCGAAAACTGCCGTTTTCTCAACACCGCTGACATTTCAGACATACACATGAGGTGTCCTTTGGCGTCAATATTCTGTGTTGATCGAAAAATAACACTTTTTCAGAGTTAAATGAGCCTTTTCAGCAGGTTGGAGGTGCCATAGGTTGCATAACTTTCATCCCGGAGATCAGTTTACACTTAGTTTCATTTAATTTTGTTACTTAAGAGTTGTTTTCACTTGTTGTTTGGTTGGGCTTTGGGTTGCAACATAACTTTCACAGCATTAAGTTTTTAGGCAGACTTCTCCTCAGACTTGTACCTACAACAGTTGGCTATGGACTCATGGCATCTGCATCTGAAGGTTACCAAGCACGTTCAAATGCGATGCCAAAGGCTCCTTACAAAACTGCACTATGTGATGAGTTGGGAGAGAGACCGAACTCAAAAATATGGATTACATTTTTTTTTTTTACCTTTCAAAAAAAAAAAATCATGCCGGGAATGTAGCAGAGCTAGTTTTTTTTACCCCTGAGTGGTGTCTGCTGTCATCCTCTCAGGCTGCATATCAGCCCAACAACCTCCAACAATAAGCCAGGGCAACCTGTATGTATCTTGCAAATTGAAACCGGGGGCCAAAAAAAAAATCCGTAGCACCACCTGCTGCTGCTCCGAGAGCACAGTAATAACTGAAGGTGAGATAAGTGCATCAACACTTTTATCAACTCCTCTCTTTTCTCATCTACATATGCTGGCAGGGCAGTAAGAGGATAATATTTGGAGAGGTTATAGTAAAAAAAAAAAAAAATCGTGAGGAGGACATGTGCCTACGATTCCTGTAAAAATTATAGCACTTTCTCAGAATTGGAAAAAGAAGTGCATTTCATATGACAACACCATTTACCCCATGTTCAGTTTTTATGTGGCTAGTTCTCCCTCTGCTCTATGCTCTAAATGTACTCTGCCGTTATCCATCACCAGGTCCCAGGATGATTTCAGTGTGTGTGCTGCAGGAGGCTCTGGGACTGGATGTGTGTTCCCGTGTAGGAGTGGGAGCAGGAGTAGGTGGTGGTGGTGATGGAGGCTTGTACTAATGCCCTGGAGATGATTTAGAGTTGAACCGCCGAACAGCACAGAGAGCTCTTCCAGTTTTCTCCCACAGGACCAGTCGGTGGCTTGTGGTGAGTTAAAGTAGAAAATAGGATCCACTAGGAATCTTTTCAGAGGAATGAAACAACAGCTCAGAAGGTTCGGCTGTAAATCGTGGCTGCATCTCCTCTGTTATTTACATTAGAAGGCATGATGCGAATGCATGTGTGGACGTAAATCAGGTTATCCGTGGGTCTCTGAAGTGGCATGCATTTTTCAGATTTATGGCTTATGATTGTTTACAGTATCGCAGGTCTTAATTGTTTCACCATGCAGTGAGAGGTTTTCATTAGGGTTTGTTTTCATGCACAAACAGAGATGGGAGTTTTCATTATATCCAGATGTGGAAGGTACGGCAAAGAAATTAAAGACTTACTTAAAAAGTGTTTTGCTGCAAGAAAAAACAATAAATTACACCTTTTTTTAAAAATATATTTTTATAAAGGACATAATTAAAGCCCTTAATCATCAATTATGCTATTTTTTCACAATTTGTTGAGTGTTTATTTTGTGGTTAAATTACAGGTGCCTTGTTGAGTTTTTATTAGCGGGCTACTGTTCTGAGTGGATTACACATGAACAATACGCATTTTGGCCACTGCTCTGAACAACAGCTAGTGGCGTTAGTGCTCGAAGAGGTTCAGCAATGCATCAATGAAACCAAGAAGAGGACAACAAGCTAGCAAAAAATGGATCAACATAAGGCAAAGATAGAATTCTGAGCGATTTATGAGCGAGTAAATTCATCCAACATGTTTGTTAGACAACAAGGCACATGCAGTGAGGGGGAAGAGGAATACTGAGTATACACTTTCTTTTTATTTGTTTACTAGAAAGCCCCTCAGGGCACCATTAATATTACATTTTATTACAAATCAGAGAGTATTAAAATTTCTGTTAACATGCCATGAACCACTAAAACAAATGGAAAGCACGAGAAAGAGATCCTGAGAAATTGTTAAATAATAGCTTTTTTATTTGTATTTTTTAAAGAAGCACTTCAAATTGTGCATATTGGATGTGAAATGGTGCAATTTTGTTTTCCAAACATGCATGTGTGCCGAGGCATGTTTGCAGCGACAGCAGGTTGTGTGCAGGGTTGTAACTGAGGGAGCAAGGCTAACAGAGGGTGCTCAACCTGCTGGCCTTGGCTTCTGCTTCTGTCAACTAAAGTGTGTCTGCGTGTGTGTGTGTGTGTGTCTGTGTGTGTGTGTGTGTGTGTGTGTGTATATATACCAGAGCCCCTTTTATATCTCAGACCACTTACACACACACAAGACTGTAAAAACATCCATAATCTCATTTCCTAAGTAAGGTTCACCTCTGCGCCCAGCCGATTATGAAATATCTTTCCTAAGTGAATGCAGACATAAAAGTTGAGTAGGCTATATGAAAAATGGCAAGAAGAATGTCCTAGCCAGCAGACTAGCAACAGGTAAAATGGCTTTTTGGTGGGGGAAAACATTATTAAAGACTGTCAGGGAAACTAGCAGACAAAGAAAAGTGGCATGTAAAACGACAGGTTGACTAAAGTGAAACCGCAAAAGAGTACAGAAGCTGACGTGTGAACCGTCAAGACGAAAGGGAAATGGAACAGAGCGAGGCAACTGGCACTGGCTGTCACTTGCTTTCCCTGCTGTAGATGACAGGTGTTTTACATTCCTCTGTGGGTGAAGGCAAACCACACATCTTCCACTGTGCCTGAGCCTTTATGTGCTGGACTCTGAATGAATTCCATATAGGCCCCAAGATTATTATATATTATATTCATGCACACTAAAGGCAGAGTAAACTTTCCATTCAAGGACAAAATGAAATAAACCCGCCACACTCTTGACATTATGGTTTTCATTTGAAACCAGGAGTAGAGAACCTGCCTTGTGTTCTACCCCAGAGCCACTCCAAGTGTTCCAGCACTGAGGGGGGGATTCATACTTCAGAGGGAAGTGGAGAGACGAGCAAATGTTCACACCGCTTCTTTCTTTCTTTGCTCACATCTGTCTTTTTTTTTTTCCTCCTCAGCAGCGTGCAGATTTTTCCATATTTTACCACCATCCCACAACAAACACGATATTAATAGTTTTTGCTTATTTGCAACCTTCCATTCACACTAAATCAACTCTGTCACGGAGGGAGGATTGTTTTGCTCTTGCTCTGCAAAACACCATTTTTTTCCACTGACTGGACAACAGATGAAAAGCCTCATCTCACATGCAATAGAGCTAATAAGTGTGTCCCACAGGTTCAGCCACAAAACACATTTTCTGTTATGAAAACTTAAACCAGCGCTTTCTATTACTGGTACTTTACAGTTATGATCTTCAGTATCTTTACTCACTCCACCACACATGCTGCACATAATGTGGTATACAGTCAGGGAGGCTTGTTCTTCTGCTGCGCACAGCATGAATCATTCGGGGTAATGGCACCACATAAATGATTAAAAAGTAATGATGTAGATGGTCTAGACTGATCATCAATTCTCCCCCACAAAGAAAGAAATCATGAGCAATTCAGTTGTGTAAACTGCTTTGTTTTTCATGCAGGGAATGACTTTTCCAGGAAGCTCGAGTGTGCCGTAAGCAGTATATAATAATCACATCCAGCAATTGGAGGGTTTGATTGTGAATAAGGACATGTGAGATTTACAGCAGCTATAGGATTTAATTGACCCACGAGGAGTGCGGTGCGGCTCCGTGCATATATCAGTCACGAGCACGCACCAAGAAATAGACTCTTAATAATGAAAAACACATGAATACACAGCGCACGTTGGCTTATTTCTGCAGTTCATCATTACATACAACAAAAGCTCCGCGGCGGTGGAAACGAGGGCGAGCTCAAAGGGCACATCATTTCAGATATTAAATGACACACACAGATGCAGACGCACGTGTTGGGTGGTTGATGTAATGCAGATCCTGTCTGATTCATGCACCTGGTGTCAGAGGTGAGAGGTGTGAGGTCCCGATGAGGAGCAAACACGCTGCTGTTGCTCAGCAAAACAGTGCACACTTCCTTTCTTTTTTTCTTCCCGCAAATCTGTCACACTCTCTCTTCTTTGCACCTCCTTTCGTTATCGGTAAGGATTTATTTTCGCTGCGTTTCATCTCCTCGGGTGAATCCTTGGCGATTGTAGAGATGCGCAAGTGCTATACTGTATCAACATTCTCAGCTCTTGGATTAAATCAGATGTGAAATAGACCTTTGTTTAAACCCAAGTTTCTCTCGCTCTGTCTCTCCAGGTGTGTCTCTCCAATGCTCTTGGCCCCTGAGGCCTGAGGAGAAGTGAGCCAAGCCCAGGCCCCCAATGGGACGCCCTGTTACCCAGCATGCACTGCTGCTGCTGCAGTGCATGCTGGTCCTGCGGCCTGGAGGCGTGGCCAGTAGGAGAGGGCCCGTGCTGCTGCCTGAGTCGCCCTGTCACAAGACAGAGCACCCGCTCATTCCACACTCAGGTAAATGTTCACACAGCATCCACGCAAACAGCAGGGTGAGATCATCAATACGCCTCATTACGCTGCATTTTTATCTCCCTCCGTAACTGTTTGAGCTTTTCTGTTCGGTTATTTATATCCGTTTCACCCTCCCTCCATTTCTTCACTCCTCACAAGATTAGACTTGTAGACCATATAAGGACAGTTTCTGGACTGTTTTATAAGAATATTTCACTGTTGCTAAGATACATAAACAGTTTTGCACACATGTCAGCTCTTGGTTATACGCAAATTGATAACTCAAGTTTTAAAAAAAAAAGTATGAAAATGAAGCACCGTGAGGTTTGTTTTTTTTAGTGCAGGTAGTTTGCAATGAGCTGTTTCTCTCATAGTTTGTGAAATGTTGTCTGAGGTAATCTAGACGAAGGATCACTCTCCAGAAATGACTGTCTTCATAGCTGATACTTCAGAAGTAGTCACTTCAAGTGAAAAACAGTATAAATTCACTCACACTTGCAAAATGTTAGTTAAAACTGCAAGCACTGGAGAGCAAGGAGCCTAAATCTTTGATTACACTACAGACATTTGGCAGACGTACTTGTCTCACTCAAAAAAATTGAATTTGATGTGAATTGACTGTTTGCAAAACTCCTGCCAAACTGCGAACATCCAATTATATCTTAGCAGCTGTAATTAGGCTTCGCAAGCCTGTCAAGTTCTGGATTTCTCCACATGTTTTAATGGTCTAAATGCAGAGTGCTTTAAAGATTGGTATCTCTTCAATTCTTTCTGAATGCAAAAACGCAAGAGCAAAAATGTAAAGAATCGATTAAAACAGGCACCCATCTGCTCCAATGTAGTCGTCATCAAGCAAAATCAAAGGTCACCGACTAGACATGAGAAACCTGCTTTTGTCTACATCCGACTGAAATCTGCGACCCATTTTTTCACAACTTAACAAATTTGCCACAGTTATGACTGCAAACTACCAGGGTTAGACAGTAGAGACTGACGCACTGAAAGCCTTTCAGCCATGTTTTTGAGTCGCCTGTCTGATGCGCGTCTGACGGAACAATAGGTTTCTGTGTTAATCAATACAGCTGTCTACACCGCCGGCGAAGTGGCTCGCATGTCACGCATATAGCTGCGACCTCAAGTGCATTTGTCGGCTTTGAATATTTTTTCTCCACTTCGTCACTACAGTCTTTGTGCATTGGGCTTTGAGCACTTCCAAAAAACACAGGTGACCTATGCTCAACAGTGTACCTGGACTGCCTGCTGTGCAGACATAGAGAGTGATCGCTCACTGCTGCTGCTGCTGCTCTGCTCAGTGTGCTGCTCACACCACACTCTCTGTGTAGACATGATGTAAGAGAAGGAGAGCTTAGTGAGCAGCTCGTCATGGACTTTGCTGTTTTCTTCCCTATTGTAAAATTATATGTATAAAGTTTTTTTTTATTGTCTAGGAAAACCTCCTCTCCTGTATTATCTTTCTGGCTTTTTTTTTTCCTTGTTTGTTCCCTCGAGGCACAAAGCAGACACAGTCTTCTTTTTGTGCCTTTCCTACATGGCTGTGCAGTTTTTAGATACAGTATACTCTGCATCCAATTTCATTGCCCTTACTCTTTATCTTACATTGCTATTGAACATCTAAACTGTAATAAAATGCTGCGAAACCCAGTCAACAGAAAGCATCAATAGCGATCAATGCAGTCCTGTCTACCAAAGGCAAGGCAGCAAAATGTCATTGAGCTGTTTTCAGTGCTGCAGAGTCCCCAGTCAGATAATCACAATGCATTCTGTCTGGGTGAAATTGACTGGAAGTCCAAGGTCAGTGCGTGTGATCCACATACATGCAATGACTCGTATTCAGCTTAACCGCCCAGCACAGACACAAGCATGCCCGGCTACAACCCTTCATCCCTCTTGTTGCCTTTCTTCGCAGTCGTTGTCACTTCATTGCTAGCTGAGGTGGCACTCCTTCCTTCTGTGCCAATTGAGTGCAGTGATGATGACTAACTGCCCAGCTAATGTAATACTTGCCTGCCTTGTGCTTTTCCGTGTGAGCAGGATCACACACCAGCCAGCGGGTCAGCTGTGGTCAATGCATTTGCGTTTGCTAATGTACCAGATTGGCCCATTAAGCTCCAGTGGTTTAATGCTTTGGTTTGAAATATAGGAGCATTAATAAAGAGGGTCGACATTTCAGTTAGCATTCAGACACGGTTCACCAACAGAGAGAGCCCACTGTACGGAAGAAAGGGAAAGAACAAGAAAAGTCTTTGGTCTGACTGATCAGCCGGTGATGATACACTTTCCTAATGCAGAGAGACTCTTAAGCTCCATTGGATAAATATCATATGATACTGAATGAGGCATGGTAATAGCTATAAAGGTGGTTTACCCATATTGCAAAGGAAATTTCATTCCTTATTTATTAACTAACCTCTTGTGGTAGCTAGTCACCCGTGTAGTTTTTGGGTTATGTCCAGGCTTTTAAATGGACTTCTCTGCTGCCTCACACATTAAACATTTAAAAAGTCTTCTTTGGTGAATCCACAGTTCTCGCTGTGACCAGATTTCACCGGAACTACCGCCAATGAATAAGTGTCCCAGAAAACATATTTACAATGTGTTCCACGGGAAGGCAGCCATTTAACATTGTGATAAATGGACAGCATTTGTAGTTAAATGTTGTTTTCTTATCATTGTTACCGGGATGGTAGAGTAAATCAAGGCAACTCCTAAGCAGTTGCACCCTATCCATGAATGTACACACAACTACTGCTGGATTGCTTTACACTGAAGACACAATTTAAAAAAGTGATGGTTACAAAGCTTATTTTAGAGCTTTTTTCCTTTGTTTTCTGAGGGATTGAGTTCTGACTTTAAGAACCAGTGTGATTCACCTCTTTCCCTCTTGTCTTTTCCTCTGTTTGAAATGGGATCTTTCAAACTCCTTCGGCCCCCTGAAGGGTCTGTAAACCTCTGTCCAAGAGAAATGTCTTTCCACGCGTTTCTTGCTATTGTTCCAGTCTTAGCGGCTTTTTAAATGTAGAGTTGAGAAGCTGTTGAACATAATGATCGGCTTACCCTCGATTTTCTGAAGTGACGAAGAAAACATCAGCGTGTTAGCGTTTTACCAAGGGAACCAAAAATCTAAATCAAGGCAATTGGTCGGCTTCTGGTCGGTGTTCTTGGAAGTTGAGCATTTCTACACGTCCCCGGGTTCTGTTGCAGAGGAACCTTTGTTAAGCTCTGAGTCGTGAGTTTCAGTGAGAATTCAAATCACAATGAATGGCATTCCGTCTCACTTTTAGTGTTTGAGTGAGGAAGGCAGTGTGCTGTTTTGAGAGTCAGTGCAACACACCTGCAGTTAAACTGTTCAAACTGCAGAAAGGCAGAAAGGTGGAACTATTTTTCATATAATAGAATTGCATTAATGCTCAAACAAGTACAGAATGCAGGCGCTTTCAAAGGCTGTTGACTCCCAGTCTACTCATCAGCTTTGATGTAAAGCTTTAAAGTTCTGTGGGCTTCTTTTTTTTTTTTTAATGCTGTCATGTAGGCACAGAAAGTTTCCCTTTAACACAAGTTGTCTCTTTAAGGTTTATCATTGTACTTTGTTTACTTGCAGTCTTGCTGTATGCAAGAATCAGCACCTTTGCAGAGCAGCTGCTAATTCCCTTGGTCTCATCAAGATGTCCATTTATCTTTACCCGCACGGTTATATTTCTGCTCGGCTTTTTAATAACTTTCCTTTCATGGCCTGATGATAGTCTGTGTGCGGTTCAAACGCATCTCATTGTTGTAAAGTACACAAAGCTTTTTTTTTTTCCAGAGACTGCAAAATTACAGCCCTGGCTTTTGTGCAATAAAAGCAAAAAAAAAAGAAACGAAAAAAAAAAGCCATGAGTCATTACCGAATATGCAGACACATATACGCATAGGCACGCATATGCACATGCAACTGTGTGTGAGAGAGGCGAAACCTCTCGTTAAACCTATTATCATTCTCTTTTGTGAGTCATTGTGCTCCATGTAATGTAGTGTAATCCCTGGTTGTTGAGAATGTGCAGTGTGAGGCTGCCATGACTGCTCTTTAGCCAAGCTGGGAGGACTACAAACACATTAAATATACCCCTGTGGATCATAGAAACCCAACACTCCCACTCTACTCAGGCAAACATTATCCATTTGGATGTACACAAACATACATATAGAGATCTGGCTTGAGTTCTGCAGCTCGTGCGCAAACGTCCAGTTGATTATTATTTTGCAAAACACTATTAATTGCTTTCTTCTTGCCAGTATTACTTATTAGTTTTTTTTTTCTCTTTTAGTCATACTTACTCGTTTTTAGTTTCAGTAATATATCATAGTTATATCTTATTGCTTTTCTACTCGGCACCACATTTATTCCTGTGCTATGTGCTTTTGTTTTCTAAACAATATGTGGCAAAAGAATTTAAAAGATTAATTAAACTTTTATGTTATGTTTCATCTTATCTTAATATGAATGTACAGCAAGCAACTGCTTATTTTAGCCTAGCATTGTATAAGATTTAATATCTTAAAATAGAAGTTGTTGTCTTTACTGTTGTGCAGTTACGCAAATGAGATAATGTGCATCATTCGGGTGCAGGGCTAAGGTAACCTGCTGCTGGCTGTGGCTACATAAAGTCTAGACATAACGGTAGTATTTACCCTCTAATCTTGGCAAGAAGAACCACACTATTTATTTAATGGAAAGGTGATTAATTGATTATTTAGCAACAGTCTTTATACATTATTGATTCATTTAAATCATTTATCCGGCAGGAAAGTCATTTATTATCTGGTGACAGCTTCTCAAATGTGAAAATCTATGACAACGACAAATGGATTTTAAGAGAGTTTTCTTTGTTTTCTATCATATTGTAATTTAGAATGGAGTATTTTAGGTTTTTTGGACTATTAGTTGGACAAAACAAACAATTTGACAACCATCACTTGGGATCCTGTGACACCAGGATGCTAAT